CCCAAAACCCCCAAAAAAAAAAAAAAGGTAATGATTAAAAACCCCTAAGCTACTTACATTGTAATAAATGCTTTTTGGACTCTATGCAGCAGATACATAATATGGTAATTTTAAGCAAAATGAGAGCTGTTAGAGAGGCACACAGTACTGATATCAATGGTAAATGGCTGCCTGGCCTCCTCATGAAAATTTCAGTTTCTCAGATGGTTAACATTGTCACCTTGACAGGGTCTTGAATCACCTGACAGACAAACCACTATGGGTATGTCTGTGAGGGAGTTTCCAGATTTGGTGAATTGAAGTGGGAAAATCTGCCCAAAATGTAGGTGGGCTGAGGTCTTGACTGAATCAAAAGGAGAAAGCAAGCCTGCCAACCTATGGCGTTGCTGGGACGTGGGACCTAGTGAGAGGAAATGAGGTCACTGGTGGCATTCCCTCAAAGGGGATATTGGGACCTTGGCCCACCTTCCCTCACTTTTTGCTTCCTGGCCACCAGAAGGTGAGTAGTTTTGCTCCCTGCCATGATGTGGTCCTGCCTTGCACAGGCCCCAAGCAACAAGGCCACGAAAGTCATGGACTCAGACCTCTGAATCCACAAGCCATGATAAACTTCCCCATCGTTCAAGTTGATTTCCTCAGGTACTTTGTCATAGTGACGGAAAGCTGACTAACACAGATATAGCCTGCCCTTGGAAAGAGTACAGAAGGAAGCTGATATGGTGGCTTATACCTTGGTCATAAAGAATACTGTCCTCCCCCCTCCTCCTAGACCTCTTTCTGCCCCTTGAGAGTCCCTTGGGAGAGGCAAGAAAGGATAATGGGGCAGAGTCAAAACATGGCATATTTTCTCTCATACACAAAATCTAATTTTAAATATACACACATCCATATATGTGACGTGGAAACAGAAGGAGGACTATCTGTGGGAGGATGGGGATCCTTGATAGTGGGAAAAGGAATAGGGGACGGTTGGGAACAGTATGAGGAAGGTACAATGACATACATATGCATACGAAAATGTTCAGTCAGACTCATTATTTTGTATGTCAACTAATATTTTTTTAAAAGAACACTATAAACAGGTGTTATTGCCTGTCCTAATGTTAGGAGGCTAGGTGTGATTAAAATGGTTTTAAGGGAACTTATCCAGGTCAAAAGTATACCCAAGCACATCCTTGAACAGCCCCTCTGCCTTGTGATTTTTCCAGAGAGGAAATAGGTACAGCAGTTGAAGAAAAGTAAAGGTTAAAATAGCATATGCTGCCGATACCATATTGCACAGACTATAAATATGTATTATATATGATAGAGATACAAAAGTTACTATAGAAGACTATAATATAAAGTAATATTTTACTTCTTGCTGGGGCTTTGATCCAAACCTCAGGACAAAATTCAAGAAAGCTAGGCTGTGCCCCAGCTTTGACCAGGACACCCTGAAGCTCTAGAATGGGCTTGCTGATGGGCAAGGTCTGCTTTAATTACATCCACTTCTGGGCCCAGATTGAGTCTGCACCTCCCTACTTCACTGCAAGCAAACGTCACACTAGAATGTGCCACCAGCTCGAGGAAGGGGTAGAGACTGCATTTGGATGGAAGATAGCTTCTGGGCTTAAACTGCTGACAGGACCACTGTGGGGGAAAAGGGTGAGTATGGGCAAAGAGGGAGAGGCATAAGGGGACCCCAGGGGCAGTTAGCACTCTGGTAGGGCAGGAGGGGGCACATATAGAGGGCTTAGCCTCTTTGAACTTGACAAGCCCACTGAATTGTCCTTTCTCCTTGGAGGCAGAACAGTCTTGACTTTCCCTTAGTCATGTTCCCAAGCTGGATTCTTGAGATAGCTTTGTTATTTTGGTGTCTAAAGAACATTATAACGCACATTTGGTCAGGACGTTCTTCCTTTTCCTTTTCCCACTGGTACTAAAGATCCAGACTGGGCCTTTGCCCGTGCCAAGCATGCACTCTGCCACAAACATATCTTCTGCTTTTTCAATTCTCTTTGTAGCCCTTTGATTGGAAAAGGACACACATTTCAGCATTGTGCTCATGCTGATAAGTCTTGCACCCCCCTTGATCTAGTAAGCTCCTTTTTCTCCACATTCATGGGCACAGGTTGAGTTATCGATCCAGATTTTAATGGCACTGCTTCTTTTCCATTTATTTATTTTTATGGTTACTTACTACTTATGGAAAAGGGCTTCAGGTTTCCATTTATGAAAGAGAAAATTTATTATTTTAAATTATGTGTATGAGTGTATTGCCTGCAAGTATGTAAGTGCCCGTGTGGTACAAAGCCCGTGGAGGGTAGAAGAGGGTGTCAGATCCCCTAGAACTGGAGTTTGGACCGTTGTTAGCTGCCATGTGGGTGCTGGGAACCAAATCATGGTCCTCTGCAAGAGTAGCCAGTGCTCTTAACCGCTGAGTCATCTGTACAGCCCAAGAGAAAAGGGCTTTTAAAACACATTTAGATTCAACAGCAAATTAATAGGCAGCAATTGGGAAGTAAATGCCTTTGCTAACTTTCTACAGAGGTGAGAGAAGCCACTGAAGCTTAGGACACATCATCTCAATCCACAATCTCTTTAGTCCCACCACCTTCAAACCTCTGGCACATTCCCTGGAAGAGAAGTTAAGAGATTCCTGTTGAGAACACCTTGGGGAACCCAGAGTCACTTCTTCAAAGCCTGTGTCTCACCCTCTACCTGACAACATAAGGCTTGGAGATGCAGAAGGAACACCTTCTTTGTGGGCTTGTGAACATTAGATATGTCAAGGACTCATTAAATATTTTGAAGTCTTAAATGTCTCACACAATGGTATCAGTTACATTATAAGGAGAACTACATTTTCTCTAGCTTTACCTTCGGCTTTGCTAACAGCGATGACCCCAGGTACAGCTGTGCTCTGGTGCTGATGGTGGAATTTCCAGGCAAACTGCCCTCCTGGGCCCTCAGCCCATCCACAACCAAGCGTGCCTTTTTTCCATCTTGCCCAAACGCTACCTTTAGAGCAAAGAAAAGGATCAAACGTTTACTTCTGACAATTGGTGCATATTTTGTTAGTGGTCACAGGAAACTTAAAAAACTGCTTTTCTACCCTTCAGGTAGTGTTACAAAAAGAGAGGCCTTTTCCTCTTGTTTATTGTCATAACCGTTGCTTTGTGAGATTTGTTAGATACTGAACAAGCTGAGATAAAAGGAGAAGTAAATACAGAGTTGCTTGAAAGTGAACTAATAAACACGTATAACCGATGTGGAAGTTTAAACAAAGGATGAACAGCCAAAGCCACGTAAATCACATGCCTTCACAACAAGGGGTCAGAACAGTCTGTACAGAGCTGAAGGGAAGTCAGGGCGAGGCCCCTGGAGCAAACAGAGCAGCCATCTCTCCTATAACAAGAGGAACAAGAGTTTCTAACTCTTTGCTACAAGTTAGGATCTGTGTCTGTCCTCTCCAAGATGTGGGACTTCTGCCTCAGACTTCCCAGTTCCAATGCCTAAAACAGAGTTCTGAATTGTCCTCAGTCCAAAACTGCTCTTTCTTGGGCCACATCCACCCTCTCTCCATCTGCCCTGCCACTGGCCAACTGCTGGCCCACTGGCCCAACCACTGGTACCAGCTCCTCCCTTTGCTCACACTCTACATGCAACCAGCCAGCTGGCCCTCTGGCTCTTCCTTCAGAGCATGTCCCAGACACCCCCTGCTCCCCCCAACCCCACAGCCTGTCTACATAAGAGCAACAACATCTGTCTGCTTCCCCTACTTGTGTGCTTACCCCTATATAGTTCTTTCATCCAAATAGAGACTTTGAAAAAAGATTATAACTCTATCCCTGTAACTCTGCTCTCTCAGTTAATGGCTTCAAAAGTTTGAGAGGCACTTATAAGAGAACCCAAAGGCCTAGCTGGATATGGTGGCCTGGTAATCCTTGCCACTTAAAGGGCTGAGGCAGGAGGATCACAAGTTTTAAACCAACAGGGGTTACATGGAGAGTTCAAGGACAGCTTAAGCTACATAGTGAGATGATATCACATAAATAAATAAATAGCCAGTCCTGGGAGCAATAGCTTGTGATTCTAGCTATTTGGTGGCTGTAAAAGAAGGATTGAAAGTCCAAGGCCTGTCTGGGCTACAGAATGAGTTCAAGGTCTACACAGGCAACTTAGTGAGACCTTATCTCAACATAAAAAGTTAATTTAAAACAGAGCATATAGCTCAATGGTAGAGCGCTTGCCTACTATTCCTGAGCTCCTAGGTTCAATTTCTAGTAATGCCAAATATAAATAATTGTAACAATATTGCAAATCCTTACTTTGGCCCGTGAAGCTTAAGTAATTGGCTCCTACCTCCTCCCTCTCTCATCCTGCTTATAACTTTGTGATTTGCTCACTGAGCTAACTCCAAGCTCAAGGTCAGCTTTCCTATAACTTCATATGTTAGTTGTCCCTTGTGGGAGACTTTCCTTGACCACCTTAATTTAATTAGTACTGCTATTCTGACCTTGCTCTAGTCTAACCTTTCCCCAAACACCAATAGCGGACATTACGTTTAAGATTTGTTGATGTTGTTATTGTTATTTATAAGCTCCAAGAAAGCAGCTCATGAAATATTTATTAATATTAAGGAATGTAATTTATCAAGTCACTTAAGTTTTTGGAGGACCAGTTCCTTCATTAGAAAAATATGGTTTTCTTCTGACCTTGTTGTGTATGTTTTTAACCTGAGATGCTTTCATGCAGGAACTGGGATGCTAGGGATGTCTTTATGCTTGTGCTGGTAGAAGGTATACCAGGTTCAGAGAAAGGGACTTGGAGACCTGGAAATTGGCCCCACAGGGAGAAGTGGTCCAGGAGGCAGGAGTGGGAGGTAGGGCAGGGAAGCAAGGCAATTCAGGGAGTTGGGAGGGGATCACAGAAGCAATAAGTTGCTTAAGTCCATTTTGGCACTCAGGATACCATCTACACATGGTGTGTGTGTGTGTGTGTGTGTGTGTGTGTGTGTGTGTGTGTGTGTGTGTGTGTGTGTGTGTGTGTGTGTACACCAAGATGCTGGGGTGCTGGCGGTTCATGCCTCCACCTACACAGGAAGTGTGAGTACATGTGTCTGATCCCCTGGAAAGAATTCTGGACTCTTTTATTCTTGGCTAAGACAGTAGATCCTGTACCAACTGGGGATCCCTTATCCAAATGCTTAGGATCATACACGTTAGTTTGTTTTCTGATTTTGGAATATTCCCATATATGCAATGAGATATCCTGGGATGAGACTCAAGTCTAAACACAAAATTCATCCATGTTCCATATTCATCCATGTTCCATATCCCTCCTATGCACATAGCCAGAAAGAAATTTTATACAATATTTTCAGTGTTCTGACTACAATCTCTCACAAGAGATTAGGTGTGGAATTTTCCATTTGTGGTGCCATGTCTGTACTCCAAAGATTTGGGATTTTGGGCCATTTTGGACTTTAGCTTCTTTTCAGGATGCTTAACCCATCATCACTTGCAGCAGCACTCACCGTGTGCCACCTCCCATCGTTGTATTTCGCCTTACTCCTCAACCTCAGTTTCTTCCCTTCTGCCCCCAAAGCAAAGACAACATGTCCTTTTGAGAGATAAAGAGCCATGAAGGAGGTCTTGGTGGCCGTGTAAAACACCAGCCCTCTGGAGGATGTTGTCCGTATGTCTACAGCAAACTGTGACCTGGGGAAACAAAAGAAGCCAGTGATGAGAAGCAGGCATGAAGGCCTGGAATCCCAGTTCTCAGGAGGCAGGGGCAGGTGGACTGCAAGGTCAAGGTCAACCTGGGCTGCCTAGTGGGGTTCAGTTATACAGCAAGACCTTCTCTCAAAAACAAAAAGCAACAACAACAAAACAACAAAACCAAACAAAAAAACACCCTCCCCAAAATCACCCACCCAAACAAATAAACAAAAAAAACCCAAACCAAACCAAAGTATAAATGAAAAGAAAAGAAACAAACAATAAAGAAATGGAGATAGAGGCTTGCAGTTTCTGCATCTCAGAACAAGAACATGGTGATGAACCCCTATACTCCCATTTTCCAAATGAATAAGGAGGCATGCCCTGATTACCTGTGCCTGTGTCTCTGGGGACTTTCAGAGGTCATAACATTCTAGCTGTCAACAATTCTTGTACAATTTCCTTACCGTGTTGGAGAATAGCACAGAACGTCTGGGGCAGCTTAGCCAGTACTCTAAATCCTAGACATGGCAAGAAAGAGCAGGCTGGTACTTTGCAAAATTAACACTGAAAGCATGGCAAAGTTCATGTAACAAAATTTATTATCTTTTGCCACTTTCGAGTGTCTAGTTTAGTGGTTTTTAGCGCATTTGCAATGTTCCACAAGCCAACTCCAGAATTCATAGTGCAAAACTGAAACTCTCTACCCCTTAACCAATAGCTTCCTATTATTCCTTTTCCGAAGGTCTGGCAACTACCCTTTCACTCTCTGTCTCTGTGGATTTGATTGCTCTAGGTACTCATGTAAAAGGAATCACACAGTATGTCCTTTTTGTGACTGCTTAGTTCTCTTAGTAGTACAAATGTTTAAACTCAATGAATATGCATCTTATTTGTGTACATGGAGCGGGACAGGGTAGGAGGAAGGGAGAACCATTTGGATAATGAGGATGTGACTTGGGTGTCAGGTCAATATTTTCTTCCTACGGGACACATTTAACACAAAGGTACAGAAGCACAGATTCACCTCTGCTCCCCACATTTCTCTGACCCTCAGACCTCAACTATGCTTGAAGAGGAATTACAAAACATCATGTAGTCAAAGACTGAGAGTGAGTATTCACTTATGGTGCTCCTGTATTATATGCACATTGGGTTAAGCAATGTTTGCTTGTTTGAAGATTCATATCCATCTATCCATCCATCCATCCATCCACCCACCCATCCATCCATCCAACCAACCAACAAAACCATCTAGTCAGTCAACAAATATTTACTGAGTGTTTAGTATGTACTGTGTGGGGCACTGGGGATACAACCGTGGAATTTCATTTCTTGAGTTGTCTATGGTGCATGGGTTGACCAACAGCTTCACAGAGGTGAAACAGGAAAAGACAGTAGAGATGTAGGTATCAACCAACTGTCTGCATCCATTCCCTGGGCTCCTGTCTAAGTACACACTAGAGAGCAAAGACCAGGTTTATCCTGCTCGTGGCTATATGAAAAGGGTCTACGACACAGCAAGAACTCAGTAAATAGTGGCCAAATCAAGTTAAGGGGGAAGTGAAAAACCTGGAGGCAGAATCTGGATGCAGAAGGCAACATTACACTGTTGATTCTCTGCTTTTTAATACTGCGAGGCTAAGATGCATATTTGTTCCTCAGATTAGCAAGTTTCCTGGAGGGAAACATTCTTCAAAATGAAAGAGTATCCTGTATTTGTTAAATGAAACCACCCAGATGGTCCATGGCTCTGTGTTTCTCCTTAAGTGTCTGTTTGCCTGTGCCAATTTAAGGAGACTATTGGGATGTACTCCAGCAAGCACATTACTTCACATATGTGGGCTTAGTGATTGGACTTGACATTTGCTTTCCAGAACTGTTCCTCAAGGCAATTTTCTTGCAGAAAAGACTAACTGACTAACACTCCAAAAAGGCAAAAGAATAGGGAGCTTCAGCTATGAGTCCTCTGTGCTGGAGGAAGGGGAAGTTCAGGAACATGTTTATACATCTACTGCAGGGTTAAAACGAAGGTCAAGGTTTTTTTTTCAAAAGAGTCAAATCGTGGGGCTAGAATGCAAAACAGAGTATGGGTAACAGAAGACTACAAATCTTGCAACTGCCTGAAAATTTAATGACAGTTACAATTTTGGGGACTGGACTAGCTTAAGATTGCATATTCTAATTGTGGTGGTTAATCTTGTCAACTAGACATGGTAGGAGACACACCTTCTAGCACGTCTATGAGGGTAATTTCCAGAGAGGTTTAACAGGGGAGGGAAGAACCATCCTGAATGTAGACCGCATCATCCCATGGCCTAGGATCTCTGACTAAGTAAAAAGGGGAAATCAAGCTGAGCACCTGCCTTCCTCTCTCTCTGCTTCCTCACTGTGGACACAATGTGACCTTATATTCTTTTTAAACATTTTAAAATTAATTTTTTATGTGTGTGACTGTTTTGCTTGCATGTATGTAAGTGCATCCATGTATACAATGCACATGGAGGTCAGAAGAGGGCGTCGGATCCTTTGGAACTAGAGTTACAGATGGTTTTTAGCCACCACATGGGTGCTGGCAACCAAACCCACGTTCTCTGGAAGAGCAGCCAGCATCCTTAACTGCAGAGCCATCTCTCCAGCCCCATGTCCTTGCTGCCATGCTTTCTCCACTATGATGGTCTGTACCTTCAAACTGTGCACCAAAATAAATCCTTCCTAAGTCATTTTCATCACAGATGAAAAAACTAATAGACTAAACTGATTGTCCCCCATCCCACCAACTTTACCTTTTAAAATGTTGCCTTTTTCACTAAATTACTACTGGATAAGAAAGCACCTAGGTTGCCTCATGAAGCAGATAAATCACCACACTGAATGTGCTGAGGGAGAAGATGCTAGGCTGGGGCCGGGGGGCAGCGTTCAATGGGAACTGGCTGTGGGAGGCTGGGGAAAAGACAGTCAGGGCAGTGTCTGCAGCTGCCATTTCTTTAAGATGAGAGATTATTTTCATGAAGGTCAGATTGACCAGGGGAGCAGGGTTGGACAATGGGGCCTCCCTACCAAAAGTCATGACATCATCAGGGGAGGGACTGACTGAAGAGCATCCCCATCTTCTGCTTTGGTCTCTCACCAGCCCAGTTTCAGCAAATGAGAGATTCTGAGACTTTACGCAGGGCAGCTGGAGACCCCAGAGACATGGAAACGTGCTTGCTCAGGTTTTCCCTCTGATCTTTCTGGCCTTCACGCCTGCGAGTCATGTCTACGGCTCATCGAGTGACTTTCAAGGACCAGTCTCCTTCTAAACTATTGCCTGTTCCTACAGTCAGAAAATCAACATTAACCCCTTTAACCAATGAGAAAATAGAGGCTAGAGAGATTAGCCATTTAGCCATTAGCTGAAATGTCAGAGCTAGAAGTTTAGGCTTAGGAAAGTCACATGGTTTGTGAAGGTCACAAAGATGTACCTCTTTCAAGACAGCCTGCAACAGGGGCACAGGGAGCTGGCTGCCCCCTGCTGTCACACCCTCAGATTTGTGGGATGCTTCTAGCCAAGGACTGAGGGTGGCAGGCATACCAGAGCCTGGCCACTTAGGCTGGACACAGACCCTCCTGAGATGATCTGTTTCTTGGGGCCTCGTGGGCCTGGCTGACTGACTTCTTCAGAGCTGCACCTGGGTCTCAGGTCCTCCTCCCTCTTCACAGGCCCTATTCCAGTCCAAGTTCTCCCACCCTATGACTGCCTGCCCGCTACCCCACCACTTTTCATGAGCCTTCCCACAAAAAGCCTCTAGCCCTTCTAGACCCATCTTGGCATCTGTATCACAGAAAAGTCGAGCTGGCACTTGGCTTGGGACCACCTAGCCAGTATGTGGCTAAGTGTGGACTGAGAGTCAAGAGTTCAAGTCAGGTCTTTTTGACCCCTGGGCCCTTCTACCTCTGTTGAAATGACTTGAAGGGATGGTGGCACCTTTTTCATTGTGTCTCCTTTAAGAGATCTGAAAAGGACAAACCTTGCTTTTCTTCCTCCTCCTGACACAATTGGTATTTCTGCTTACTCCCCTCCCCAACAGGGATGCAACTTGTTAGCATAAAAATGTCTAAATGCATTCGCAGAAATGTTCTATCTGGCACCAAGGCTACCTAAAAGAATGATTTCCCCTTCAGTACAGAACTCAAAAGAAGAAAGGTGATTTATCATGGAAATAAATAGCAGCTTTGGAGGGGGGTGGGAAATCAGCCTTATTTTTAGAACACCGTCAATTCTCAGCCAGAGCTGAGCTGATTGTTGGCCCAGAGCAGCAGCAGCAGGAGCAGTCACATTTCCATTCCAGCTGTGGGGAGGGAGCACACAGCAGGCAGGCACTGCACTCCCTGTCCTATGCAGGCTACTGACTACTCCCCCCTCCCAAAATGGAAATGCCTTCTTCCTGAGCGGGATGTGCATGGTTTCTTGTGGACTAGACTTCCCTGGGAGAGACTGGAAGGCAGGTTCTGTGTTGATGATGGAGCAGGAAAGGGCAAAATAAAAGTACTAATACTAATAATACCTGGGTTTCACCATCTCCTGAGGAAGCTTGAAGAGCAAGTGGCTGGTGGGACTGTCCCCAAACTGATGGGCTCTGTGAGTGGCCTGTGCGCTGAGAGGTGGCAGGCAGGACTTCCCATCTTGCCATGCCTCCATGCTCCTTGGGGACACCTTGGGTGCATCCTGCAACAGCTGTGAGGGAGAAGAAGGAAAATGAGGATACAGTGGGAGCAGCAGAGAGAGGGCATCATGCTGGCCTGGCCCAGTGCCTTGCTCGGTTTTTACCCTGGAGCCTAAGAGATGAACTCAGTGGAGAGACGCAAGACTAAGGAACAAGTCCCATGGGGATGGGATGTTCCCCAAGAGCCCTTCCTGTGCATCACTGACTGGTGTGGGGACGGAAGAGAGGGCAAGAGCTTATTCTCAGCTACTTTACCCTCCTGCAGCCAGATCTGCCTAAACCCATTCAGTGCCTCAGTGTAGCTTTGATTTGGGGGCCTTTTGCCTCCAGGAAGGTTTGAATGGGGTTGGAGGAGGGAACCAACTGTCCTTTTCAGGAGTCATGATTTGGGAGAATCTAAATATTTTTCTCTCAGTCTCTTTTTGGGGAGAGTACATAGTATTCATGCCATATACAAGGGGACATTGCTACACCAGGGACTTGCGGGGGTCCAGCACCCCATCCCATCATGGGTCATCAGAAGAACCACAGTGTCTCCTGTGAGATCCAGTGGACAGCCAGCAGCATGAGGTCTCCTCAGCCAGAGCGGAGTCACAAACCTGCCACCTCCCTTCCTAGCCATTTCCTTGGGCTTCTGCAAGCAAGGTAAGTGAAAGATGGAGTGCAGGGCCCAAAGGGAGGGGCACTGGACCTGTCCTCATGTCTTAAAAAAAACTTTGATCAATTTATATTACATGCATATGAGTGTTTTGCCTGCATGTATGTAAGTGCACCACATGTGTGTGCAATGCTCGTGGGGGCCAGAAGAAGGCATCAGATTTCCTGGAACTGGAGTTAAAATTGGTTGTTAGCCACCATGTGGGTGCTGGGAACTGAATTCAGGTCAGTGCTCTTATCTGCTCAGCCATCTCTCCAGCCCCTCTGCGCTCACTTCTTTAGCATTGACTAGGGCATAAAATTTCATCCAGTGTTGAACCATGCTTTTAACTTTTGAACGGGATAATGTTTTAATGCAGGAAAAATTCATCATCATAAGCAACAGATGTACCTAGAAAAGCTGTTGGAAGATGTTGAGAGTCTCCAGGCTGCCCCCTTCCTCTGTAGCAGAGTCCAGGTTCTGTAGTGCCCAGTCCTCCACTACAGAGTTCAGTGGGTGATCCGCTTAGCTTAAGTTGGGGGATGGGGGAAGATTTGCCTTGCTAGGGGTTGATTCAAGAATGAGTATGTGACCTCCTCCTGGCCAATGACCCTTGAGGAGATGCTGGTAGGGTGAAACTTCTAACAGGATGCTGTTCTAGTAAGGTGAGAAACCCAGGCAGAATCCTTGCTTCTTGTGCTGGACAATTGCTCAAGGAGCAAGTGTTTCCAAGAGCCCTGTAAAATGGAGCAGAGAACTGGGACTCAAACTTCCTCTCTCAACTTGGGCGGCTCCACAGGTGGTACCCCAGTTTCACTTCTGTTGCTGTGGGGTGAAACTTCTAACAGGATGCTGTTCTAGTAAGGTGAGAAACCCAGGCAGAATCCTTGCTTCTTGTGCTGGACAATTGCTCAAGGAGCAAGTGTTTCCAAGAGCCCTGTAAAATGGAGCAGAGAACTGGGACTCAAACTTCCTGTCTCACCTTGGGCGGCTCCACAGGTGGTACCCCAGTTTCACTTCTGTTGCTGTAATAAAATACCCCGACAAAAGCAACTTAGGGGAGAAAGGGGGTTATTTGGCTCACAATTCCAGGTTATAGTCTGTCTTCACAGGGAAGTCAGGCAGAACCCTGAGGCAGCTAATCACATCATATTCGCAGTCAAGGGTAGAAAGAAAGAAATGTAGGTGTGTGCTTGCTACAGCTAGTCTTCTCTGCGATGACACAGCTCACAGTTGGTTCTAAACCAGGGAGTGGTGCTGCCCACTTTCAGGCTGAGTCTTCCCACAATTAAAGCAACTGCAGACGATCCCTCCAGACATGCCTGATGTAGACAATCCCTCATTGAGACTCTTTCCAGGTGATTCTAGGAATTTCTAATCAAGGATGCTGTTGAAAAACTACCACAAGTAGCATCATTGTCACGATTGTTTATGTCATCATGCAGGGAGTTTTCTGAAATCAATGGTGAATGGCTTCTCAACAAACGTCTGTCCCAATCAGGTATTCCTCTGTGAATTAGTTACTTTTCTGTTGCCATCAGCAAGGCAACTTACGGAAGGAAGTTTATTTGAGCTTATGGTTACAGAAGGATGAGTCCATCATGGCGGGGAGGCACAGCAGCAGGAGCCGAGAGCTGAGAGCACACATCTTCAACGGCAAACACAAGCACACACCTGACAGGACACCAGTGTGGAATTCAAGTTCCCCCACCTAACACACACACACACACACACACACACACACACACACACACACACGCCCCGGCCTCCTTTCTCCATCAAGTTTCCCAGTGTCCATGAAGCTTTCCAAGCTAGCAGACCTTGATTACATTTATTGGGATGTTATGGCTTGGAGTTTGAATTCAGGCTCTCGCATTTACTGACTGGGTATTCTTTGGAAAAAAAAGACAGCTGATCTGAAACTCAACTTCTGGACCTGTCTAGTTTTCATTTTCTTCTGCTTTCAGACAATGTGGTAAGAGAACATGCATGTAATGTACCTCCCACATCCGGCCTGCCAGCTGTGGACTCCTATAGCATTAGAATTTACCCATCTAAAGTCTGCCGTGCTCCACACAGCCCCAGCTCCCAGGAAGCCTCCTGCAGGAGGGTCTCCCTGCTTTCCACAGTCAGATATTCCTGCACTACCCCTACATCATGCCATCCCTTTTATTTAGGTTTATCATATTGTGTACTGTAATAATAACTGACACATACCACATGCCTGCTTTGCACTGGCCCTTTTCTAACTTTGTTGTGGGTATTACCTCATTTAACCTCACAGAAACATCAGGACATACTACCATTATTTGTTTTCGTTTACACTGGAGAGACCCACAAGAAGTGAAACAATCTCACCTGGTTGGTGGATTAAAGCCTGACACAAACCCAAACAATCTGACTCAGTTGGTCCAGTATTCCGCCACTAAGCCATGTTGTATTCTGCCACTGGGCTATATCTAAGACAAAACTAATATCGTCTATCTAATCTGGAGACTACACAGAAGAGGGGAGTGAGATAATGCATTCATGAATGTCTCCCAGAGCAATGGTCCCCATACACCTTAACTGCCCAGGCTCCCTCAGAGACACCAACAGTATCCACCAACTCTCTCTACCTAGTGACAGGTACCTGAGGTACCTGTCACTCCATATGTCACAAACTCCATTCCTTCTTTTTCTCTAAAAACTTGCCTCCTTGTATCCATGGAGCTTTCAACAGCATCTGCATGTAGACCACAACCCAAACTGGATACCCCAGGATACCCCTGCCTCTTTCTGCTCTCTCAAATTCAATCATTGTCTGAGCTAAATATACTCTATCTTCTAAACACTTTTAGAATCCATTTCCTCCTCTCTAGTTCACCATCATCAGCTGATTCAGTCTCAGCTATCAGCCCTACATTGAAAAAAAGTGAATATATGACTTCATTTCTGAGGGAGCAATTCTAAAGGCATTCTTCTCATAATAGCCAAATGACAACCCTTGGGGATTCGTGAAGCGTATGTCTTCTTAATAGCACAACAGTTATCTTATTCAGTATTGTCTGTTCATAGATCACTGTGCAGCTGGGAAGTACTGGTAGATGAATAATACATGGCTAATGTTAACGGGTGCATGTTAATGGGTGTTGAGCAGGAGCAGCTTGTTCTAAATTACTGGTCCTGGAGGATGAGGCTAGAGTCCCACACATGCTAGGTAAGTGCTCCCTCTCCAGCCCAGCAGCTTGGCATAAGGAGGGCCCAGCTCCATTGGCCACCTTCCACTTCTAGAGCAAATGACTCACCTGTCTGCACCTCAACATCCTTTTCTGCAAGATGTGGCTAGTGCTTTAAGAAGATGCACTTGGGGGACTTAGCCCAATGCCAGGCAGATCAGGGGTGCTCAGTGCTTATCTCATTGTGACCTCAGATATGGAGAGGACATCCTGTTGGCCTTGGGCAGAGATGTGTTTAACTCATGAAAATCCCAGTAATCCCTGCTAGCAGTGCTACTTCCTTTTGGTTTCTTTCAGCAAAGCACATTAGAATCACCTGCAGTACTCTGCAAGATAAAGTTGCCTGGGCCCCCTCCAAGTGCCTCTGGCCTAACTGGGTCATTGCATCCTGAGCACTGGAATTTCAAAACTCCTCCTGTGCTTATAATGTGCAGTCCAGGCTGAGCTACCCTGGCTTTGACAAGACTTAGGTAAATGTGGCTACTCTGTCTATAGGAAGTGCACCAGGAGCAAAGGTGACATCTATAGGGCCATATAGGGACATATGAGAGAAGGGGTACAGCTCTTATATTCTATAGGATATCAATGGACCTGCTGCACACACACAGTGCCAACAGAGCAAGACATCAGAGACAGAAGTTCAGATACGAAAGTTAAGGTCTGTTAGGAGTTAGGCTGGTAGTTGGGGGGCAATCATCTAGGCTTGGGCAGAGGGTGGGAGGCAGGCTGCAACCCCTTTAAACACTGTTAAGGGTCCTTTTGAAGCTTTGGTTTCAGATAAGGCCCTTGTGATGATTACCCTCCATTGTCAGCTTGACACAACCTAGAATCACCTGGGAAGAGTCTTAATGTGGAACCATTTACATTGGGTATATTAATTGTCTTAATTAAATTAATTGATGTGGGACGTCCCAGTCCACTGTGGGTGGGACCATTCCCTAGGCAAAGGGTCCTGAACTGGATAAGAGTGGAGAAATGTATCTGAGCATAAAGCAAGTGAGCAAGCCCACAGTCCTTTCCCTCCAGTCTTGACCATGGATGTCATGTAACTCTCTGCTTCAAGTTGACCTCCCCACAAACATGTACTGTCACCTGTGCTCTTAGCTACTGAGCCATCCCTCCAGCCCCTTTATCATGGCAACACCCCTGCAGAGTGAATCATAGTTTAATACAGCCAAGGCTACACTGCCCCCTTCTAGGTAACCTACGGTAAATGTTGCTCATTATGATCTCATTATAATGTGAATTCTTCCTGCAGAGGGTGTTTCTGTCCGTCATTTTTGGACAAACGGTAGATGAAGACAAAGTATGATTTCCAACTGAGCATGCTCAAGACTGTGCCTCCCCAGGCTGTGACGGAGAACATTTTCAGTATGAATATGCACAAGTTTTCTCAGTGAAGTCCCTTGCTTTCTCTGTTTGCAGAAAAGCACTCTTTGAGAGTGATCCTTAGTGTTCTTATTATATGTAAGTAATCAACTTTCCTTTACTCTTTTGATCCTTTGGTGTCTCTTCATGGAGGGACTGACCACTGCAGGTTGGGTGATCTCCTACCTCCTTTCCCATAACATCCCTCCAGGCAGACAAAGGAGAAATGAAATTCAGGATAAGCCTTTGACACTTACCTGGTTGACATTGAAAGTCCTGCCCTTGTTAAATCTCGTGGAACCTTTAAGCAGCATTAGAAATGGTGGCTTGTTTAAACTGCAGCCTCCCAGGGATGTATCTCTCTTGGTGGATCTACTGGTCAAATCTAGGACTTCAGGACTCTGTGACAACCTGGAACGAGGGCAGAAATGAAGGCTGCTGTCAAACCTTTACTCACGGAGAAGACCCACTGGTAGGTAGAGAAAGCTCATGGCAAACGAGCTTTCTTACTGCCATGATTCCTAGGTGAGCTTTCACCTACCTGCATGTCACATCTTCGAGACAGCAGGATTCAAGAAACTCCCGTGGACTTGGAGTTTGACACACAGCTGTAACACTAGCTTTCCTTTGGAATGTGTGTCATGCAGAAATGTGGAGATCAAATACACAGAGAGGGAGTGACAGACACCGGATGACAGAGAATGAGGGTGAATGTAAGGACTCTGCAGAGGTGAGCTTATGGAAAGGTTTGTCTCATCAGGTTTGCTTTAGCTCTGCATATCCTCTGAGCCTGAGAAGATTGCTGTTAAACTCCTCCCTGTCCTCTCCACTCCTCCCATTTCCTGATCCAGCCACTGGACTATGTGCTCTAGAAAGGGGCTTCACCAACCAGATGTTGGAGAACTCCGAGCCTCATCCTGGCCAAGGAGGGATGCTGGGTGCTAGGAGGGATGATGGCACTATTCCAGGAGCCTGCAAGTTCCTGTCTGAGGTTCACAGTCAGGGCCAGGACCTCCTTCTGTGGCAGAGGCAGACTGGATCTCTTATCTAAATTATTTTGAATGAGACGATAACATTTAAAGCTTGTATCCATGGAAGCACTGAATGTTCCTTCTAGCGAAATTCATGTTAGCATTGTTTGAACTGGTTTCCTAGCACTGTACCTGTCCCTGAAATTCCTTGGCCTTATAACCATGGAGAACTGATCAAATCAAATTTCACAATCTTGATTAAAACAAAATCAAGCAGTGTGAATATTTTTCAAGAGCTATAATCTGAAAGTTAATTTTCATTAGACCTTTGCCAAGGTTAGAACCCAAAGTTACGAGACGCTGTTTTTAAAAATATTTTAATTAATTAATTAATTAATTAATTTTTATGTGTATGAGTATATTGCTTGCATGTGTGTAAGTGCACCTAGGTTGTGCAATGCCCTTGGAGGTCAGAAGGTGGCATCAGATTCCTCTGGAATTGGAGTTATGGATGGTTGTTAGCCACCATGTGGGTGCTGGGAATTGAACCCGGGTCCTCTGCAAGAGCAGTCAGTGCTCTTAACCACTGAGCCATCTCTCCAGCCCCCTGTTTGTTTTTTAAATGCACATATCTTGCCACAGAGCATTTTGGAAATGTGTGAAATGAGAGCCTTTGATAACACATTGACAAATGTGACTCTGCAAACTGGATAAACGGGACACCCTTCATGTGGGTGGGCAATTCTCATCAATTACACTCAGAGAAAAATCACCCACCTTTGGACAAAAACGTTGCTGATACAACCCTCAAAGTAACTGCCTCCCAGGCGGAGAGATTGCTGGGCATTTGAAAAGCCTGGAAGCCCTTGGTTCCTTCTCAGAATCTGGTCATCAATGAGAAGCCGGAGGCTAAAAGAGGAAAAACACAAGCCCAGGGTGAGAGAAAAATTACTGTGAGAAAAAAACTACTGTCTTTGACTCAGACTCACCTAAAAGGACTCCAGTGAAGCTAAACTTATTTTTAATGAGCATCAAAATATTTTCCATGCTTTTGCACATAATACTTTTATTAAATAATGTATATGAACTAAAGGTACATGTCGTAATGGTATGCTCAATGGATTTTTGCAACATGAATACAGCAATACAGCCAGCACTCACAGAAAGATACCGAATAGCTCCATACCACTGGAATCCCGTTTTGTATTACCTGTAGTCTCTAGCTTCCCTCTGTCTTCAAGAGCAGCTGCCATCCTGAACTCTGATACAACAGATTGACTTGCCCTCTTTTTGAGCTTGTGGGCATGAAATCACAGGGGCGCCCTCTTTATGTATGCCTTCTTTTCTCCAGGTTACATTTGTGAGGTTCACCCATATCATTGCATACTTCTAGATCCCATATGGGGGTTTATAAGGCACCATTCACATTTAGGGTGAATGTGCCACATTTTTATTTGCTCATCCGCCACTAACTTATTTTTTAATCAGGACATTGATATAGAGCAAGGAAGAAGGCTAAGACATAATAGTAAAATAACACGAAGAACAGATATGGCAAACGTATACTGGAGAATTCCACTGAACTAAATAAAATAGACTTCTCAGAGCTCTGGCATCAGGAGGAGCCCACTTACCCTGAGGTGTCACTTATTACAGATACATGATGAAGTAAGCCATCCATGTAGGTCTGTGGAGATCTGAAAATCCGGCTGCCGCTGTCCCTGGTGCTCAATTCAATGTGACCATCTTCCAGAGTGACCTGCAGGCTACTAGTCTGAAACCATGCCAGAATATAATCATCAACAATTACTCATTTAGAAATGAAACTGAATGAACACAGAATTTATGGTCAAGTTATGATAAGATAGTCAGGTCATTTTGATCAAAATGTTTTGATTTACCCATTTAGATTGAAAGATAATTTTTGAATGGTCTGGGTCCTTATTTATGGATATAAAAATCTTATGCAAATTGCTTCAACACTGATGAATTTGTTGGTCTTTTTCTAGATGTACTTTAAGTCCATTTAATTTCCTAATCAACTATTTACAACAGCTAAATTATTTCTATTTGCCCCTTATTTTTACTTTCATTTTGATGACGTTAGTTCCATCAGAATTCATTCTTTCTGAATAAATTGCATAGCAAGGAGTTGATTCATTGAGTTCATTCATATGAGGTTATAACAATGACTTCTTCTCTTTGGTTGTTATGAATTTTTCATGCTCTGGTCATTATTTCTGGAAAGCTCTATTTTTCCACATCAACTTATGCTTATCTAACATTGGCCAGGTAATTTTACTTTCTGTCCATTAGTAATTTTAAAAGATGTAATAGTTTTTTTTCATTTTCATTCTGTATTTTTCTACCAAGTATAATTTTTGCAGTTTTCAGTAAATTATGATTCCTCCAAGAGCTTTTCACCTAAAGCAATTTGTACAGTTTACAGTTACAGCCACTGACGCCATTAGTTGGTTTTGCTTTTTTCTTAACTGGAAGCATTGTGAACTGGATCAAAGAATGCTATGTTATTTGTATTTCTAACCCATTATGAAATTGAAATCAATGTCTCTAAGGTATTTCTAGAACCCCTGTACTTCACAGGGTTGCTCTAACTTTTCCCTAATCCAACCCTTCCATTTGCTTTTTATCATTTGTATTGTGTATTAAGTGTACTTACATGTGGCAGAAGAAACAAGGGTTAAGAATAAAAAGAGCTAGTCAGAGCTGGGGAGATGGCTCAGTCAGTAAAGTACTCACCGTAGAAACAGGAGACTGAATTCAATAAACAGGACTCAGGCCAAAAAACAACAAACAAAAACTAGGTAGGGTATGTGCTTGTAATCCTTGGGCTTGGGAGATGGAGAAAGGAGGATCCCTGGGGTGTGCTGGTCAGCTGCCCAGCCTATTTGACAAGCCCCAGGTCAGTGAGAGATGCTGTCTCAAAAAAACAAGGTGATGACTCCTGAAAAGGTTGTTCTTGGCCTTCACAGGCATGTGTGTACATGTACACGTACACACACACACACACACACACACACACACACACACACACACAGGTATCGGGGGAGAGGTCAAATTGTCCTGTTTGGATGGAAGGTCATCTCTTCACTTTACCCACTGAGCCATCTCCCCAATCCCATGGAAGAGAATTTCTGCAGCTCTATTGTGTGTGAAGAGAGAGCCTAGGACCTGATCCTGATTTTCTTCATTCCCCAGGGGTAAATATTACCCAGGAAGTAACTGCTGTAACAAAGCAATCTGAAGAGTCATTTTCTGAAGACGTAATGAAAAAGAAACAGTAAGGGTAAATCTTCACCTTTTTCTTATACCACATTATTACTTATACCTGTTAAAATTTATTTTAACCCATGCCTGTAAAGAATGAAAATGAGTTGGATAATGCATGTAAATTCAGTTATTTGGATTATTATGCACCTTCTAAGCCCGTTTTCCTTTAGCCTCTACCCCAGGTTGGGAATCACTTTCATGCCTCAATTGCACAATAGCCTTTATGGTACTGGTAGATCAAATGCCTAACTCCTTTCAAAATCTCTCTGATGCTTTTGACAGAAAACTTGGTGCCAGGTTTAAATCTTGTTTGAAATGAATGCGCTCCTTCTTACCCGTGTCTGATGATTTAGTAATACGCCACTGGGTTGAAAGGTCTGAAACCCAAAGGAGACCTGGAAGTGGTCAGGCAAGGGCACATCCAAGTTAGTGAAACTCATCTGGCCTCCTCTGGAGAATGAAGCAGATCGCACCAGCTGAAATGCAAACATGGAAATGACTGGCATGCTAAGCACTTCCTGTCTGCTGAACTCCAGTCTCCTGACCTGTATCTCTTCACTGGAGATGATGCACACCATTAGTGCAGCTCAGAAAGAACCTGGGTCTGCGTTTCTATGGAATGTTACAAAGCTTCTGTAAGGTTTCTATGTATAGGTATTCTTACTTTCCAATGTACTTAGTTCACTGCAGTGCCATGGGCCACCAGTGTGTAGATGGAAGTTGGGTTCATTGCAATGCAACCTGTCTCAGCGTTCTGGACCCTGCACTTACCTTCCAGTCTTCAGAACACTTTTTGGTGACTCCCACAGTGTCATTCAGTCTGACGACCCCACTGGTTTTCTTCAGATTTTTCATGCAGCCTCGGAAAGCAGGTGTAGAAATGTTAAACCTGATGAGGGACACAGAAAAGGAACTTCTGTCATGCAGGGCTCCCCTGAGAACTGCTCTCTAGCGTTTCCCACCCATCTACAGGCACAGTCTATTGTCTGATTTCTGTTCCCATGCGGGTTCCTTTGATGGATGCCCGCCATGTTGCTGGAAAAGCTACTTCCCTTCTGTGTGTGCCTGCATTCTCAGCTTTAAAACTACAGACAATGAGCCGGGTGTGGTGGTGCACCCCTTTAATTCCAGCACTCAGGAGGCAGAGGCAGGCAGGCAGGTCTCTGTGAGATTGAGACCAGCCTTGTTTACACAACGAGTTCCAGGTCAGCTGGGCCTACAGGGAGACCCTGTATCAAAAAAAAAAAAAAAAAAAAAAAAAAAAAAAAAAAAAGACAATGATATGTACAGAACAGCCAGTGCCCCCCAAAATTTAAAGATACACTGTGTCTAGAACTGCCCACCCCCTGCCTCAAAGACAAAGCACTACACTGCATGGAGGATGGAAAAATCTATGAGCAAGTCAGTAAACTGCATAAATTACACAAATATGCATTAAGAAACCTATAAACAGCACACCAGAACCAGGAATGTTCTATTTTTCTGTGAACTCAGAAGAAACCAACTGTTACTTTTTGGTTCTGTTCAATTCCTGAATATGTGACTTGATTTAATGTACAGGAAGAGCGTGGAATGATGGTGCACATGGGCAACAGAGCAGGGAAGCCTGGGCTCAAGTTCTGCACATGATTAAACAAGCAACTTCAAGTCCCCATGCCGCCATTTCCTCATCTGTACCAAGAGGACATGCTAGTCTGATTCACGGAATTGTCAGGTGAGTAATGTAGTGTGCGCAACACAAATGGTGCTTGGGAACAGTGAGGACTCCTTGCAAGACAGCAGGGTCACCTACCACACATTATTATTTACCTACCTACCTACCTACACACACACACACACACACACACACACACACACACACACCACATATATTACTATCTACCCTACATACACTACCTTTACATTACTCTCCTATCATTATACCAGCAAATGCTTGAGTGTTTTGCATATGTGTATATATGTGATTGTGTGTGCATGTGGATGTGTCTGCTCATACATGTGCATGTAGAGGCCAGAGGTCAACATTAGGTATCTTCCTTTATTGCTTTCCACCTTTTTTGGTGGGAATTGGGGGGTGGGGACAACGAGGTCTGTCACTGAACCCGAACTCAACGATTCAGCTAGACTGGCTGGCCAGCAAGCCCAAGGAAATCTCCCCGTCTCTGCTTCCCAGCACTAGGATTACAGCATGTGCTGCCATGCCTGGCTTTTTTCATGTGGGTACTTGGGATCTGAGCTTGGGTCCTCACGCTTGAGCAGTAAGCACTTTACTGACTGAGCCATTTCCCTAGACCCCACACAGGCAATTTCTACAGCAGCTCTTCGTATGTGGCATCCTGCCATTCCCCTTGATCTGACTTCCCGATCTGCATGGAGCTGAATTCACATAAAACATTAATATGCATGAAGTGACTGAGGTCCTGGCAAATATTAGTGTTTCTTAAACAAATGCTGTATTAAGAAAACCCAGTGCTAATTTCATTACAAATCCCTAAGGTGGCTCATGTATCTAAATGGAAAGGTATCAGTCTTCACTCTAATCCAGTCCATTACAAACAGTGGAGCTATGTAGAATCTGCATAAAAGTAAATTTCATTAAATGGAAAAGGAAGAAAGATATCTTCATTGGTATTGTGGCATGGCTTAATTGTTTTATAAAGATGACTGTGTGTGTGTGTGTGTGTGTGTGTGTGTGTGTGAGAGAGAGAGAGAGAGAGAGAGAGAGAGAGAGAGAGACTGCATGCCATGTGTGTACAGGAACCTGCGGAGGCCAGAAAAGGGCATTAGATCTCCTGGGACTGGAGTTACAGGTGGTTGTGAGCTGCCCCACATGGGTGCTGGGAACTGAATTACATCCTCTGCAAGAGCAGCAAGGGCTCTTAATGGCTGAGCTGTCTCTACAGACCCATATTTTTATATCCGTTATCTCTTACCGCCTGAGGGTCTAGGCTCCCATGATTCCTTCAGGATGCAAGGTTTGAACACACTTGTTGGAGGAACAGAATTATGTTGGGGGTACGTGTTGTTCTATCTGTGGCTTCCTATGTTGGGATGTGTGTGCATACTTGAGGTCCTTCTGTCCTCAAAAGTTTCTCCAACTCCCTAGCTGTAGTAGGCAGATTGCAGGGAGCAGTAAGTGACCCTAAACTTAGTGTGTGGAGTACTAAGAAAATGTAATGTTCAACAGATTCCTGGACTGTGCTTTTCAAGTGATCTTTGTTTTATGTTTTATAATGACACTCTGAACACAAAGCCTCCAGGAAAAATGTCCTGGTCAGTGTCAGGTCCTCCGGTGCTGTCAGGAGTGACTCGCTCCTCTCCCAAGCTGCAGGTGCGATTCAGACATGTGACTTCTGATTATTATTAATGTAATATTTTATTAATTCTTTGAGAACTTCATATATGCATTTTGATCATATTCACCCCAATTCCTCCCCCTAGCTCCTTCTAGACCTACCTCCTACCCACCAACCCCTCCCAACTTCATGTTCTCTTTTAGAAAAAAATTTTTTTTCGAACTCACTGAGTCCAATTTGTGCTGCCTGTGTATGCTTCAGTGTGGGCATGGGGCTATCCGTTGGAACACAGCCTTCCAGGTCTGAAAGATAACTAGCTCTCCCTCCCCTAGCAGTGGGATTTCTGATTATAAACTCACACGAGTCATTTGAAGATCTGGGTTGCCATTTTAAGAATGTATGCTCCAGAGAGAGAGGAGGAAAAACACCCATAGAATTCCTTGAGCAAAGCTGCCTGACTCAGGAATGACTCCGGTGTGCTTTGCTGTGTTGGGTGTGAGTGCCCCAACTCTCCTCAAGGGCCTTCTGTTTACGCTGGAGTCTTTGCAGTGGGGGGCAGAGGCAGGGGGGTATGTTGTTGCCCCTGTAGAGGTTGGCTGTGGAAGAGCTACAGGGCTCACTGGACTGCTAAAGCCCCACAGGAAGGACAAGACAGGCCAGAAAAAAAAAAAATCACATAGCACTTAACTTTTGAGGGGATAAAAGGCCAGGAAAATCTATCCCCTCCACTTTCCATGTTCTTGTGATTTTAATAAAAAAAAATACAAGTATAAACTTATCCAGAAAATGGAGGCAGCCTCTTGCTTGCAAGCACATAAGTCAGACTGCAACAACAATCCTGTGTGAATCTATATTTGTGAAGTTACACACCTATCCATGTATGTCTTTAGTGGATAAGGCCACAGCCTCATTCTGTGTTGCATGGCAATGCCAACCAACTGAATTCTTTATGGTGTCTCTCCTCCCAAGAATGACAACGAGGAATGTGGGTGACACACACTTCACCCAGGTCCCCACATTTGGATGGCCAGTGTCACTGGTTCAGCACTTACAGTGACTGCACTATTAGTACTGCAAAGTGAACTGCTGTGGCTGGAATCAAAGGGGGGAGACTAGAATTATTGGCAGTAATCACTGCAACTATGAGAGGATCTGCTTTGATAAAACCCATCTCACATGGGGCTGGTGAGATGGTTCATTAAGGGTACTTGCCCCAAGTTTGAGAACCTGAATTTGATCCTCAGAACCTACATGGTAGAAAGAGATAACAGATTCCTGCAGGTTGTCTTCTGACTTGCACACATGTGCCATAGTTCCCTCTCCACCCAAAATAAAATAAACTATTAAAAAACCCAGCATATCATCTTACTTTTCTCTGATTGCAATCGGAATTCCTCCCAGATAATACGTGCTGAAATCAAATATCTCCCCTTCAATTTCAATGCTTTGGCCATTCACAGTGATCCGCAAGAGTTTTTGGACTTTTCCAATTTTGATCAAAATCTGAAATGAGTGGGAAATGAATTAGCAATCAATGAGCGATGAAAGAATTCTATCTGTAGTGACTTAGAGTTACTGTGGCTGTTTTGTTTTTTTTTAACTTCAGTTTTGTTTATATGTATACATAGAAAGAAGGCTGCCCAGTAGCAGTTTGGAACAAAAATCTAATACTAAAGCATTTGTGTGTGTGTGTGTGTGTGTGTGTGTGTGTGTGTTAATATCTTTATATGTATGCAAGTACATGTATGTGTTTACATCTTTACGTGTGTGTGTGTGTGTGTGCACGTGCACACATGCATGCATGTGTGCCCAGAGGCCAGAAGATACTTTGGATGTTGTTTCTCAGGCACTGTCCACCTTTGTTTTGAGGCAGGGTCTTTCACTGGCCTGGAACCCACTAAGTAGTCTAGTCTGACTGGCCAGTGAGCTCCAGGGATCTGTTTGTCTCTATAGTCCCATTGTTGGGTTTACAAGTATATGCCACTGGGGCTGGAGAAATGGCTCAGTGGCTAAGAGCACCAGTTTCTCTTGCAGAGGACTTGGGTTTGATTCCCAGCACCCACATGGTGGCTAACAACCATCTGTAAACTCCACTTCCAGGGGAATCCTACACCCTCTCTGACCTTTGAGGGTATTTCATTTCTTTTTAAAGGTCCATTTTAATAATTCAAATAAACAACTTCAAGGACATACCGAATGATCTTTCCCATTGTTGATGGTGTCTCGAATGCCTTTCTCTTTGGGTGGCTCTGAATTTAGTTTGTATCTCACCATAAGATTGCCATCTTCTAGATTCAGCGATATGAAATGATCCTGGAGAATGGAAACAAGGCAGGTAACTAGGAGACCCCACTGAAGGAGAACCGACGTACTGGAACTCCAGGGAGTCTCAAATCACTCGGCGCCATCAGATTGATCTGCTAAATGAGCTAAGAGGAAGACCAGTGCTGAGTTATGAGACATAACTCACTGAAGGCACAAGATAGCTGAATAGTGTCAAACATGTGGACCATCGTGGTCAGCACCCAGCACTTAGGTCAGGCCCATACATGCCAGCCAGGGTCCTGCTTTTATTCTGTCTCACCTAGAACCAATATGCAGAATGGAGACAGAAAAGATACAGATCATTACAGTTGTTAAGGAATGTGAGTTCTGCCTGTTCGAAAGAGATGAGGGTCACTCAATCCCCAGATGTTTTCTGACTGACTCCTGCCTCACATGCCCTCTACTTTCTGGTTCAGTGCTGGGGTCCCTCTGGGGTCCTGCACAGTTCTTCTCTCTGCCTGTTCTGACTTGATAATCACAGTCACTCCTATGTTCCCACATCTGAGTCATTCCTGACCTTCCTTTCCTCCCATCCAATCAAGTCTTAGGAATTTGTCCCTTAACTCTCTCCTGCCGTATCCCTAGTCTCAGTCAGACTGCACAGCCATAGTCTCCCCATGCTTCCCTCCAGATCACCTTCCACTCTGCAACCAGAGCAGCCTTCTGATGTTGCCAATGAATACACTAACTCCCTTTGCTCTCAGAACACAGCCCAGGCTCCTCAGCATATGCTGTGAGGCACTGCCCGCCTCTTCTCTCTTTGTCCCTCAGCATACCCCTCTGACTCCACAGGCTACCTTTCTACCCCTGAATGGTCCTGCCCTTCCCACTGCCAAGCCTTCTTTGTGCCCCTGACCCAGCTTGATTCCCTTCTAATTGTCCACCAGGCTTCAGAGGAGGCCTCCTTTGTTCAAGAAAGACTGATGTCACACATCCTCATTTCCCTTTTGTGCTGTACCTCAAAATTGTGATGAATTAATAATGAACCTATCAGAAGTATACCTTTGTACAATACTAGTCTTTCCCTCTAGAGGGCAGGATCTGGTCTGCCTTGGTCATTACTGCCTCCTGGTCATGAAGTAAGATATACTTTAATCAGTTATTTCCTTAGTGGTCAGAAAAGGTGAGGCTTGCTCCTACCACTTTCCTACGATAGGAAGGCCTCTCTGCAAAGTCCAAGGCCTCAGTCCTCATCTAAAAGTCTTTCAGTGTGGATCCTAAAACCTTGTCCTGAGAGTCAACAGCTCCTGAGCCAGGTAACACCAGCTCCCTGAGAGTAACGAGCCTGTACTTAGCAGCAACCCTGTGGGTCACGTCTTATATAATGGCATTATGTAAGTTTTCCTCTGGCATAAATATGATTTCTGGTTCTTGGTGCCCAATAATTTATAAATGTAATACAAGTTGAACATCTCTAATCCAAACAATTCAAAATAGGAAGTTCAAAATTGAACATGTTTGTTCGAGCTTCAACATGAAACCACAGTTTTGATAGCTTAGTGCACACAAACTTTATTTGATGCACACAATTGTTAAAAAAATATTGTATGAAATTACCTTATTGGCTATGCATATAAGATGTATATGAAACATACTTGAAATTCATGTTTAGACTTGGTTCCCATCCCCGATTTCTCTTTATGTATATATAAATATTCTACAGTGAATAAAGTCCAAAATATGAAACACTACTCATCTGAGCATTTTGGAAAAACAGATCCTCCACCTGAACAAAGACCTTGTTTTGGAGAACAACTGCCTTGGGCTAAAGATGCTGGATAACTGTTCAGTTCCCTGCATCCTTCAGGCTGGTTGACATCAGAGCTAAGGAACCAGACCAACCCCAGAGGAGAGAACTGAATTAAGTCTTTGTCCCTACCCTGCAAGTAGAAGGGTCTGGTAAAATCTCAAGTCTTATATTACCCCACATTCTCATATTGAGCCCTGTGGGCTGATGAATATTTTTCTAGAAACTGCTTGTAAGAGTAACTATCAAAGATCCTGTTTTGGGGACTGAGCCACTAAACCCCAGCACAGTAGGAGAATCAGAGCAAACAAGCCCACTCTTGTAGATGGCGCTAATGAACCTGAGTGGACTGCCTCTTTGGAGTCACCTAACCTAGTAGATGTAAGAATGCCCCAGACTTAGGCTGCTCCAAAGTATGGAAGTTTCCATGTCTTGGGAAGTCAGGACTCAGGCTCATAAAGATGTAACTCCCATAGCCTGTCAAGAATCAGACCAAGGTGACAGAGGCAGGAGGTCCACTCAGCTAGATCTTGGGGACCCCAGGAGGTCTTTGCTTGTTTTGAGGCAGAATGAATACATTATTAGGCAAGCGGCCATTTTCACAGCCTAATGCAAACAGGATGAGAAGTGACCCCTGCCCCATTTTCGGAGCATGATCTTAAATTCCTGATCCTCTCTTCTCATGAAAATTCACTCATACTCTCCCCAACAGAAAGAAAACATGACTGGTCAAGGGAAAGGATACAGGTTACATTGGCACATTGTTTTCCAAATCTTCATTGGTTGTTTACAACAACCCAGTTATCCCCAAATTGCTACATGCAGTGGCTACAGTAGGTGGTATCTGGATGCTTGATGTAGATTACCTGGTTTTCTGCAAAGAACAGCAAACCTCTGCCCACGGTGGTCTGGATGGTCTGGCCAAAGGTCGGGAAGGGAGCATTTGGTTGAGTCGGAACACGAGCGTAGCCTGTACCTTCAAAGTAATTTTTGTCTGACTCTTCCTTTCTCCTGTCAACATCAACCAGAAGTTAGCAGGCATGCTTATTAAAATGAGATGCTGCTAGTTGAAAAACAGAGCTAGGAACACACAGTCTAAGTGTCATAATTTTGTAGAAAAAGAGGAAACACTCCTAAAATGTTCAATTTTTTCTCCTGATATGCTCTTAGCCCCTGCTCAGAAAAGAAACAGTAAAGAGTTCCTTGTGGGGGCTGGGGAAATGGCTCAGCAGGTAGAAGTTGCTGTGCAAGCTTGAGGACCCGAGTTTGGATCCCCAAATCCCACATCGAAGGCAGGCATGACAGCACACATCTGTACCCCAGTGTTAGCAGGATAGAGACAGGCAGATCTGGTTGCTAGCAGGCCATCCAGTCTTGTCTAATGCAAGCAAGCTCTGGGCTCAGAGAAAGAATATGTCTCAAAAATAAGGTGGAAGACACCCAGAGTCAACCTCTGGCATCCACATGTGCACGTCTGATTGTACCTGTGCACACATGCATATACTATACACACACAAAAGGGAAGCAAAGAGTGCCTTCTGGTAATGTATGTTTAGCAGGAAGTGGCTTATTAGCTGAAAATCTTGAAATGTAAGAAATTATTCATTTTAAGTATAAGCGTATCCTGAGACACAAAGGCTTGATCTGCTTCATATTGGAATATCCAAAGTCCTTTCAATTGTAGGGATGGCTTGAAGTTCAAAGCAGCAATTTTCAAATAGGTGCACGTCAGAGTACTTAGAAATCATCCACCTTGTAAATTGCTGTTATTTAAGATTTAGAGTAAATATATAATTGTGTGCCTAAACAATCTAATAACATCAATTAGTTTGTGGTAGGAGGCACTAAATATTTAAGAAGGGTTCAGTTTTTTAAAATTGTATTTATTAGCACAGGTTGATCTCTGTGAGATGGAGGTTAGCCTGGTCTACATAGTGAGGTTCTGGCCAGCTGGGGCTATAGGGAGACCCTGTCTCAAAACAAAACAAAACACCTAAACCAAACCCCAATTATATTGTATTTATTATTATCGTGTGTGTGTGTGTGAGAGAGAGAGAGAGCGAGTGAGCGAGAGAGAGAGAGAGAGAGAGAGTGAGAGAGAGTTGTATATGAGTGCACTCCATGATGGTACATGTGGAGGTCAGAGGACAACTTTGTGGACTTGGTTCCTCCTTTATGTAGGTTTGAGGATCAAATTCATGTCGTCAGGCTTATGCAACAAGTGTATTTTACTCACTGAGTTGCCTTAAAAGCCCCAAAGATTTACTTTTTAGAAACTGATAAAACTATCAATCTGATGCCTTACACAAACTAGGGAGACTGCCATTATCAGATCTTAGAGGTGGAGGGAGTGTTGCCTGCAGGTTGAGTGTCACCTGCAAACAGAGATTAAGCAGCACTGACCCCAAGCAATGACACCACCACCAACCTCCTGCCCACCCCTGCCTTAGGCGTGCAAGTACGGCAAGTTCCCAGTCCAGCTCCAGGGACCCTGTTCCAGGCTTCATCACCTTCTGCAAGGCTCCACTTCGGTTGTGTTGAGATTGAAAGTTTTTTTGAAGTTGTACAAGCTCAGAACATTTTCATTGAGGTCATCTAACTCGATACAGCCTTTGTATGGAGGGAATCTTAGTCTGTTGGGAAGCTGCAAATGAAATAAATCTTTCATGAGGATAAGGGATAATGACCATGTTTACATAAAATAAGACTTTCAGCAGTCAATATAGCATAAAGGTGGGAAACATGGACCCTGGCTTCACCATCTAAAAGCTGTCAAAATTTGGGTGAGTTATCACCCCCACCCCCGCCATCTTAGTGTCTTCACTTATGAAGTGGGAATGATACGGATTCTTAAATTCACTAAATTAAATAAAATTCATACACTTAAGCTTAGAACAGTGTACACAGAAAGTACGTCTTAGCTCTTATCACTAGATGTGCAACATGCTTTAAGAACATATGGTTAAATCGATTTGACACAAAATTACTTAAACTACAGATGGGAGATCATTACAGAAAATTAAAATTTAAGTATTCTACTCAGTGAAACAGCATTGATACTTACTTGAAAATCAGGTGGGTAACCTCCAACATAAAATACAACATTTTCGGGGTCCAAATTAAGGAGCGTGTTGCCACTGCTAACCTCCATGTCGTACACTCGAGGGACTTTGGGTTTATTGGATGTGGCTTCTTTAGTGTAATTAAGCTTTGCAAACTGATAGATTCTGTTGAACATTAGATAATAAGGTTATAAGAAAAGTTAAATAATCGAAAACCAAGGTGCTAAAACCAGGGTTTGGCAACACATGAGAACGTAAGAGTTTGGTGAGACAGGCCAAGCTGACAAAGAGTGAGAGTTATCAAACCATACCTCTGGAATTTCACCCGGTCCATAACGGCCTCCTGAGTCTCACTTTCAGTCAGAACCTGGTCTACCTGGAGTTCGGCTTCACGATCTCCAAGGTTGTAAACACATGTGAGCTGACCATCTACTACTGCCATGCCAATGTAGTCCTTGGAAGCCTGGAGACATAAAGACCACCTCAGAGCTTGATCTTTCTTTTTTAATAAAACAAAGTTGAGGTTTATTAAAGATTTTTTTTTAAACAGGGTCTCCCTGTGGTCCCAGCTGGCCTAGAGCTTGCTATGTAAAACAGGTTGACCTTGATCTCACAGAGATCAGCCTGCCTCTGCCTCTTGAGTGCTGGGATTAAAGGAGTGAGCCACCATGCCTGGCTCTAAAGATATTTTATAACAGAGTTTAAGCACAATGGTTAAGAGAAAGTGAGGCATTCAGAAAGAAATGGGTATGAAGAAAGAGTTGCCTCAGAACTTGCCTCTCATTTTTCCATATCAAGAGGATCCTAAAAGTTTGATTACATAAAATAATGGGTTTTATGCAATAAGCTTTGGGCAGCCAGAATAAACAAAATGCATCCTCTTCTAGAACACTTGCTTACTAATGTCTGTGTGTCTGCTCATGTTTCAGTGGTCTGATTTACTGAGTTTTGCATTCGTTCCATCTCTAATGGTTTGCCAGCACCTATCACAAGGGTGGTCCAAGCACAGACTCAGCTGCCTATTAGTGTCTCATCAGCAAGGGAGACGGACCATTCTGCTCTCCCAGTGCCATGCCATGCTCTACTGGTACTTTGTACTGGCCTCTGCGGTGACCTTTCTACACTGTCATGGTCAATTCTCTGAGCATCTTTCTTCCCTGTTAGAATGTGAGAGTCTTAAAGAAGAAACGGTTTGGAAATTGTGCTAAAATATACAAAGAAAAAGCCTGCCACTTTAACTATTTATAAGTATACACTGGCATCCAGAAAATTCAAGAACTGAATTTTAATCATAAATATAAACTGGCACATAATAAGGACAGTCATCCCTCTGTATCAACAGGGGACTGGTTCTAGAAACCCTGGGGATATGTAAATCTGCAGACACTTGTTCCAAATGGTACAGCATCTGCCTATAGTCCACGTACATAAAATATTTTGCACACTTTAAAACATTTTAAAGCTATTTATATCTCACCTAATGCAAATGTTATGTAAATAATTGGTATAATGCATTGCTCAGAAAGAATGACAAAAGACCGTATGTGTCCACGAGAGGTGCGAAATTCTGTTTTGTTTTGTTTGAAACAGAACCCTGTTTCATGTAGCTCAAGTTGGCCTGGAACTCCACATGTTGTCCAAGGATGATTCTGGAATTTCTGATCCTCCTGCCTCTAGCACCAGGGTGCTGCGATTGTGAATATGTGCCACCACCCTGTTTTAGGCAGTTCTGGGGATCACACCCAGGACTTCGTGCATACTAGGGAAGCACCCTACTAACTGAACTACATCCTCAGACCCTTCTCTGAATATTTTTCATTCATAGATATTTGAATCTGTGACTACAGATGGCTGATTGTATAAGGTATCAATTTGCTGAAGGCATAAAGTAATCTACATTTTGTCATGATACAAAGCAAAAAGTCACTGTATAAAGAAACTATAAATGCAAGACTACCCACTTGAAGCATGAAAAGGCAGTCAATGACAGTGTAGGTTTTAAGAATCCTTAACTAATCCTAGCACCAGGGAGGCAGAGGCAGGTAGATCCTTGTGAATTTGAGGCCAGCCTGGTCTATATAGCAAGTTCCAGGACAGCTGGGGCTATACTCAAAAAGACTGTGTGTGTAAAATGTCCACTACTGATGACTAATGATTTCCTAATCAGATAGAATTTCCAAGAATCATATTTTATTTTACTTATTTATTTTGGGGGCATGTGCCATGCACACATGTGGCGGTCAGAGGACACAGCCACTTTTCCTTCTACCATGTGGGTCCTGGGGATCAGCCTCAGGTTGTCAGGCTTGGTGGCAGGTGCCTTTATCTTGTCTGTCCAAGAACCATATTATAGATACTTCTATTTCAACCCAGTCAGTACTCAGCTTCCCCCCCTAACCCTTATATTAAAGACACATAGTTAAAAGGAGGGACTAACCAATCAAAAAGCCTATAATGGTAATGGCTTACTGAGTTTAGGATGATAAGGCGATCATAAAAAGTTTAGGCTCTGTTTTGCTCCAGGTCTCATCTGTATGAGGTCCCTACTCCTCAGACTTGGGGAATGGTCTATGGCTGGTCTTTCTGGAAGAGGTTGGGGCCACAGTTCTTGTGAGGAGGAGCCATTGTTGATTTCAATGGAGGCTTAATATTGATGCCCTGGCAGAGTGGGGAGGGAGTGTTGCTCCTGCACCTATAAATGGGTATGTGCTACATGTATACACATGTGTGCCCACATTCTGAGCCCACTGGGTAAGGCTTCTCATCAGCAGCTTAACATCCATGATGGACGGGAGGTGTCTCATAGGGGAGTAGTGGGATCTGTTGATGCTTTTGTGGGATTTCCACTGATGAGTCGTGCCACAAGTCTCAAAGTCCCATCTCCAAAAACCTTATAAAAATAAAAGAATGTCCAGGCAGTACTTACATCCTTATTTCCAAGGTACATCACAAACATGTCCTCAGTTCCCCCATTCTCTCTTAAGTTAGGTCTTTGCAGAAACAAAGACAGAGATGTGTATCCTTTCAAATCTTCCAGATCATTTGGCAACCGGACTTCAACACCAGATTTACCATTGAACCTCATGGGAACCGCGACCTGTGAAAAGAATAAAGTGTCAAACATTCTCCTGTTTGAAAGAAGATGTGGTTGCAGAGAGAATGCTGTAGCAATCCCTCCTAGTGACGCATCATCTTGTCCCAAGTCGTTCTGGTAGGTGGCAGGGAAGGGTGGTATCTCCTAGACCCAGGTTATAAACTCATCGAGTTGTCTGCAGAGCCAGTTCATAGGCCATCCATTCTCAATGCTTATTAGTTGGAGGTCTTTGAGAATTGCACTTAGACCTCTGTGCTAGCGATGATGATGATGGCGATGATGATGACGATGATTTGTACACTAGAAGGATTTTGTGCAGGGGAGTTACCATGTCTGGAAGCACTTGGCATGGTGCCTACATATGGCTATGTGTGTTCTGCTCTACAATATTTTGCCTTATTCCCTTGAGACAGGGTCTCTCGCTGAGCTGGGAGCTAGTCTGGCAGCCAGTGAGCCCCAGCCATCCTCCCGTCCATCCCCACCCCCAGTTCTGTGGTTACAAGCCAACTGCAGCCATGTCTGGCCTTTTACATGGGCACTGGGGATTCAAACTCAGAACCTCATGTTTTCACAGTAAGAGCTCTGACCTACAAGCCATCTCCTCAGTTCAGCAACAAATATACACATCTATTAATGTTGTTTATTAGTGCTATTTTGATCCGTGTGTGTGTGTGTGTGTGTGTGTGTGTGTGTGTGGTTATCTTTTGTTTGGGTTTTTGAGGCAGGGACTCAACTGAGGGCCTCAAGTATGATAGGTAAGTGCCCTGCCACTGAGCCATATCCCCCTCCAAGAACTGGGTGTTTCTAAGATGTATAGCTAACATTTTAGCAAAGTCCGAGAAGCCACTTTACAGTGGCTGGTAAGCAAATTGAGTTCAGGATGTGGCTTAATAATTTCTGTCTTCATTGGGTGTGCCAGTGTGCACAAGGAATTCAAAAGCCTTTGCTTACCACTTTTTAGTTATTTCCCACTAATGTGGCATTCTATCTGCCAGGAGCTGTTCTGCACCATCTCATTTAACTCTAACAATCTTCTGCGGCTGTTAATATTATTAACCCTGATCTACAGATGAAGAAACTGAAGCACAGAGCAGTGAAGCAACTGGCCAAGGCCTTACAGCTCATAAGTGACAGAGAGAGAATTAAACGAAGATGGCCTGGCTTGGTTAACAAGCCCTTAATCACTGCAGTATAAAACACTTTAAATATTGTTGAATAAATTAGTGAACCAACACACACACAGGAAAAGCTATAGGTATACTTCTACTTTTTTTCTTTTTTTTCTTTTTTTTTATACAGAGTTTCATGTAGACCAGGCTGTCCTATGTAGCCAAGGATGACCTTGAACTCCTGAGATTATAGGTGTGGACCACCGTATCTGGTAAACATTCTTTTCATTTGTATTTTATAAAGCATGTACAGTGTGAAGAGGGTAATTTCTGCCAATTGTGTCTTCTGCTTTTAGTTTTGATACGACAAAACATTTTATGTTGCTCATATTTGTCTTTTTTAGAAGAAAGTGCTGGTTCTGATGCCTCAAAGAAGCAATACTGAGCCCAGAAATCAACTTCAGTGCCTCCAGGGCGATGTGCCATTCTGACTTGGCTTTCCCACCCACTTTCTCCAGATAACGCTCATGAGGTTGGCCGGAACTACTTGGAAACATAAGGAATTTTCTTTACAGTAGTTCCTCCACTTGCGGTTTTGCTTTCCAAGGTTTTAGTTATCTACAGTGAGCTACAGTTCAAAATGAGTAAAATGGAAAGTTCTAGAAGTAATTAAGTCATAAATTTTATGTTCTGTATCATGTTAATTAGAGTAATAAAAGCCTTACTTCATCTCCTTCTATTCTGCCTAGGACAGGAATTATCCCTTTATCCAGGGTATTCGGGCTGTATATACTTTCCGCCTGTGGTCATTTAGTAGCTGTCTTCATTATCAGATCAACTGTCTGGGTATTGTAGTGCTTGTGTTCAAGTTGCCCGTGTGCAGAAACCTAACTAATAGCACACCACGAAGCCTGCACTGTTGGCCTTGTGTCATCTCATCACCCAGCACTATGTCATCTCACGTCATCACAGGAAGTGTGAGTATGGCATGATTAGATCTTGACAGAGACCACATTCCCATAACTTTTATTGTCGTATACTGTTATAATTGTTTTATTAGTAGTTATCACTATTAGTCTTTTTTCTTGATGTATATGAGAAAAAACATAATATATATAGATTTGGGGACTGTTCGTAGTTTTAGCCATCTACCAGGGATCTTGCAATATTCCCTTATAAATAAGGGACGATTGGTTTAGGACAAAGTAAATACAGGTATCAGGAATTCAAGGAAATAATGTTAAGTGAAAAGAAGGAAGACTGATGGACTGTTGTTCTAATGATGGTAAATTACTATGATCCTATGTCCCCAACCTCAACAAAGACGGACCCACCACTTTTGAGTTACAGGAAAATAGGTTCCATGCAGTATCATATTCATACACTCTGACCATAGACCCCTCACTTGACCTTGCAATTACAGTTTACAAAGTGAGGCCTGGGAGAATACCCTTCTTCCTATCTGTGTGACTTCAATGGATGGAAAAGGTTTCTGGTGTCTGATGTACCAGAAGATCTAGGAGACAAAGGTTGTGTGCATTTATGAAGGGTAGCAAAAGAAAAATCAACTTTCATATTTAAAATCAAAGACTCTGGAGAATACAGACAGACAATTCTTGTATAAATAAAAGGCTTTCCTGCCTTGATGAATGTGGTAACTGACTTACCAAAGAACCAACAGCGGCCATGAGAGAGTGAGGAATACCCACCTTATTTGCGGCATCTCTGGCCTGCTGAATTAGTTCTCGTATTCGGTCCACGTTGTCAGAGATATTTCCCAGGGGCAAGAGTTGTTGGTTGATACTTTCAATCTTGATCAACAGATCAGGCAATTTCCTGGTTAGTTTCTTTACTGTTGATGAGATTAGAAAATGGAAATTTAGCATAGTGTACTGACAAAAGATTAGATACAGATATTTGTGCTGAGAGTATTTGTCTATTGGAAACTTTGGGAATAGGATCAACCATAACCAGTAATACTCTCTCTAAATGCATCATGATTTTTATTCTATGATGTAGGCCTCAAGTCATTTTCCTTGATCACTATAGGAAAAAAATACTTGTTTTCTTATCCTTTAATATCAAACATGATGTAATAAATAAATAATGAATGAGACCTTACCACTCTAGAAAAAAGAAAATCTCTATCACTTGTCAATGGATTAAAAAAAAACTGGGGAGATGGCTTAGTGGGTAAAGTATTTGCCCTATACGCATGAGGACCTGCGTTTGAATTCCCACCACCCACATAAAAAGCCTGGCACAGCAGTGTACACCTGCTGTTCTAGCACTGAAGAGATGGAGACAGGAGGATTGCTGGGGCTTGTTGGCCAGCTAATCTGTATCATCTCCAGATATGAGCTCCAGGTTCAGTGACAGACCCTGTCTCAAGGCATCAAGGTGGTGGGGAGATGGTTCAGTGGGTAAAGCACTTGCTGCTCAAGAATGAGGACCTGGGTTTGAATCCTCAGAACCCCTATAAGAAAAAGATGTGCTGCATGTGTCTATAATCCCAGTGCTCCCATGGCAAGATCAGGGGCAGAGACCAGAGAATCTCCAGAAGTTCACAGACCAGCCAGCCTGGAATATGCAGTGGTGAACAGGAAACTAATCAAAACAAAGTGGAAGGCAAGACTGACACCCAAAGTTGTCCTCTGACCCCCACAAGCACTCCATGGTATGTCCATGCACACACACACACACACACACACACACACACACACACACACACAATCTTTTTAAAGAATGGAAGGATTCCAGGTGTGGTGATATACACCTTTAATCTCTGCACTCAGAGATAGGTCTCTGAGAGT